AAAAAAAAAAAAAAAAAAAAAAAAAAAAAAAAAAAAAAAGTACTAGAATGAAGGAAAAAGAAAAGAAGAAGAAACAAAACGAATAACGAGGAGAGGGAGACAGAGGAAATGGTCCAAAAAAATTACATGAAGACACTTGTCTTTCCAAGGTGTTGTTGCTTGCTTATTTTTTTCTGTTGTCGGTTGCGTTGGGTTGGGTTTGAGTTCTTAGTAAAATTAATGATCGACTAACGTGTCAGTTTTACTATATATAAAGCTAACTTCAATAGAAAATACTTAGTTTGAGTTCTTAATCAAACTAATGACTTAATTGTATCGAGAAAACAGATTCAGACTTATTGAGTTGGTTTGAGTTCATAATGAAGATGATGACTGATTGATGTGTTAGTTTTACTAATATATATGTATAATGTCAATCCCAATAGAAAACACCCTTAAATTTATTGGATTGGTTTGGGTTCGTTTGAATTCTTAATGGAACTAAGATGTGTCATTTTTACTCTATATAAAGCCAACTTCAATAGAAAATACCCTAAGCTAATAACCATTTGATGTGTTAGTTTTACTATATACAAACCCAACCCCCATAGAAAATATCTTCAAACCTATTGACCGAAGTCAGTTCGATTTATTTCTATTGGTTGACTTAATTTTTCGGTCTCCAATGTCCATCTTACTAAAGACTATATAGACATGCTATATCTGGAAACGTGTTTATTTTTAATACTTATGTATTTGACTAGCTACATCTAGTTGCCACTTTGAGATAAATCTTTAAGTTGGTAATGACGAATTTGCCACTTTGAGAGATATCTTTAAGCTGATAATGACGAGTTTGTCATTTTGGAAGATGTCTTTAAGCTGGTAATGACGAGTCAAACTTTTATTTATTAGTACGACATGTTAGCCAATTTACTCTATTTTCATAAACAACTTTAAACCAAATTTCTAAAAACCACAATGTTCTTCTCTAGAAAAAACCATGCTTGTAGGCAATACATGTGCATATCCTCTGACCATTCTAAGTAATTCAAAAGCTACTCATTTGAAGTAGCCAACCATTTGTATGTCCATTTCTTTTCATATTATTAAATCGATATAGCCACGTGTTGTCTTTTTTTTTTAAATTTAAAATTATTATTATTAGTCACTTTACTTTTTAATAAATTATCATTTCTTATACTTTAAAGTCATAATCTTTATCATTACGATTTCCCAATCATTATCGCATTGCCAGCTAAGATAATAAAATCTTCCCTAATTTTATAATTAAACACACACATTTAGTTTTTTTATTACTTAATTCTAAATTAAACTTTAATGCACTATGATTAGGGCCCACCTTGCTTTGTTTGTAGTTTAAGAATGATGATTTGAAAAGTATTCTCTCTACTAATTTTCAAAATATTTTTATAAACCCTATATTAAAAATAGCTTAAGCTAATAAAAATACATTTAATCGTCTCAAAAAATTCATTAATATTTTAAACTTTATAAAAGTTCGAAAAATACCTTTTTAAGCTTTAAAAAAAAAAATTAAAAATATCGGTAGCATTGGTTTTGAAGGGAATTAATAATACCATGTTTTTAAAAATTTTAATAGAATTTAAAACACATTTCATTTTATTATTGATATATATTTCTAGAAATATTATTTACTTTCTTTAATATATTTATATGTATTTATATATATTTATATTTAGTATACTCATTAATTTTACATTAATTATAATTACCTCTTAGTCAATGGTCAACCTTTTGCTTAATTTGCAAGCTAATTACACATTTCTATTTATTCTTGATTCATGATGAGATATATATATATATATATATATTAATTTGTCATGCGAAGTCAGAAATAACTGGGCTAAGATGTCGATCTCAAGGGCCCGTTAAAATTCGCTAATGGGCTTCACGGCCCACGTCTTGCTGGGCTTACGTTCTACAGAAGCTTCTCAGGCCCGTATTATATCGGATTGATGTTAGGGTTTTTGCTGAAGGCTAAATTAATAAAAATATCTTTTAACCTTCAAAATTTTCAATAATAATTTAAAATAATTTTAAAAAATACAGTTTTTGAATTAAAAAAAAATAGTATTTATTTAAAAATACCCTTGAAATTTTAAATTTTTTCATTACCGTGTAAAAATAAATATCCATAAATTTTTAAATTTTTAAAAGTAGCATTAACACTCTCGACCTTTATAAAAAGAATATTACAAAATCTTAATATCAATATATAAATAGAAACCATTTGTTTTAAATTTAAAAATCTCAATAACTACTTGGTCAAACTTCCCCCGCATTTGAGTCATATAAATAATGTGTTCGACTATGTTACAGCTACTTCATTGACATTTGTATACTCAGTAAAGGAAATGTATATAAATGAACTAAGATCACATCCGAATGAGAGCATCCGTAAAGATAAAATGACTATAAAAGGTTTAAAAGAATCGAAAGTGGTTATTTACACCAACATCGTGCACCTTCTTTCTCGATAGCTCAATCATAGGAACTTCATAGTTAAGTGTGATTTGCTCTTAGGTGACCTCTTGAGAATTTTCTTAGAATGCATGTAAGCGAGGACAAAACATCTTAAAAAGATTTGTGTTGGTACGTGGGAATAATTTTTGCAGGTAGTTATTATGTTGTAGAGCATACCTATTCATGCTCGTAGTTTGATCGGAGGTCAACAAGTGTAATCCGGTAGAAAAACATAAGTCGTCCATCTCGACGTGATACTTGAATTGCTCAATAATACTTCACTATTATCGTAGATGACAGAAATAACTTAATGGTCGAGCATGTTAGAACTATAAGGAGAGAGGTTCAATTCTCGGTACTAAAATAAATGATTATGACATCGTAATAGGAATTATTATATAAACCGAGAAGCGCCTAAAACAGGAACAGCCAAAGAAATCTCCATTAGAATCCTTTTAAGAAAACCATTGAAACTGCCATTGTCTTTGCCTAACAATTCATTCATCTTTTTCACCTTACAATCACATCGGACCTTCATCATCCACTTTCTCATTCGAACTTCCCTAATCGACCTCCAAATCACCACCGCTCGCGGCGGCCTTCTGCCGCCGAGGCGGGCCGTTGACAGCTTCTTCCTCTGCAGATGGATCCACCGGCGCAACGGTCGACGGTGGCCGGAGCGGAGGAGGGGTTGAACCTCGTCTTGCAGCTGTGATTCATAAGACTGAGCCATGTCGGAAGTGTGGGAGAGATTTGAGGGCTGCGGCCCTATTTATATTGTTTCTTTGTGGATTTTGGGGAATTGTTTGAACTTTGTGAAAAATTAAATTAGTCATTTTATTAAATTAGTCAAGTTGGTTTGGTCTAATTTCACCTTTATATTTTATTTTGTTCGGGTACTATTTCATTCATATACTTTCAAAGCATCTATTTTGATCGTTTGGTTTATCGTTCTATTATTTACGCCTGTTCGGTACTTTTAAAATTATGTATACAAAGAAAGTTAGAGGTAAAGGATTCGAACCTCTCATCGCTTTTAATTCATTTCTTTAATTAAAATTAACAAATATAAATGTTTTTTTTTTCTATTTCTCGTGAAATTATTGATTAGAAAAGATTATATGTCGTGATACACAATTCACCTAACCCAATAGTTGACTTGGCTCACTTAAAATATGAATGGATTGTGTTTTAAGAAGTTTTTGTTATTATTTGATATACTCTTATCTAAATCTCAACTTTAATGATAAAAATAGTTTTAATTGATTGGTTTTATAATGTTATAGAAATTATTGATTAGAAAAGATTATTATTTTTGTACGTTAGAACTCAACTTCTTTTTTATATATTTTTTGATCCTCTATTTCTCGTTCTGTAGCTTACGAGTTTACATCCATCTCTAGTCGGGTATCATTTTCCTAAAAAATTTCTAATTGTGTCATACGAGGCTAAGATCTCGATCAATTTCATTTAGTTTATTGTTTTATTTTTTTAATTATACTCAAATAAGTCTTGCTCTCCTTTTTTTAGTTTTGCAAAATTAAAAAAATAAAATTCATACCAAATCTCAACAACAAAGTCAGCTAAATATTTTCTTTTTGTTTAGAAATATGATAAGAACCAAGTTGGAAGGAGAACATTCTCTTTTTTTTAATTTATTTTAAAGTAATTAAATCCATTATCGTGGCACCACGTTCGAAGAAAGAAAGAACTAGTCCTTGATGCATCACTAGGCATGAAAAGAGACATCAAGAACGATAGATTTCGAGACAATACAAATATAAAATAACAAAAATTGTTTTAGATAGTTCAGCCATAGATTATACATGGTTTCTGTACTTTTTAAGATTTCTATTCGATCATCATCATTTTTTATTAAGAAAAAATGGAAGAAAACATATAAAATTTAGCACGACTATGAAAATCAAAATTAAATGAATCGAAGGAAGGAGGTTTAAAAGAATTGATAACCAAATCCATTGGTTAAATGCAACCTTACTTCTTAGGTGTTCTAGATGGCCCAATCCAAATACTTGGAGACTTCAGCATTTAGCTTTAAGCATATCAATTTCAAAAAGAAACTGAAAAATGAAAAGCCCTAAAGAGAGGGAGGGGGGAGGAAAGTACGCAGAAATTTCATTTCCATCCAAACAGAACTTGGATGAAATTTCATCCCAATGCTTCAGAAGAATTCAAGAAATTAGAGAAAGGATGAAATTTCATTCTGGCTACCCCCTCCTGATTCAACTGTGTTTCAAATATCAAGCAGCAAGAATCTATTTTAATGGAGAGATTAACCTCATAAGACTAAGATCCTGCTACAAATTCATTCCAAACATGTCCAAAACAGTTTCTCAGATTGTCTTGAGGAGGAGGAGGATCACTCAAATGAAGCCAATAATTTTCAGATTCAAAGATGAAGCTACGCTACCCACTAGGGAAGATTATTATGAAGCTTCATATATTGTTTCATATGGAAGGATTCAGAATAATCCAAATGAACAGTGCAATCTCCTAACATGGTACGTACAGAAAGAGGAGCATGTTGCACTCTCAAAGATCCTACTCAAAACTCAAAACCAATAAATGATACTTACATCGAAGCTATGGATGCAGTGTTGAACGAGACAGCAATTGGACTCCTAACGATGTGACTTCCATCACTCCATTGAATTGATCCGAAGCTTGCTGAGTTCTTGAATCCACTGATTTTGGTGAATGTAATTTCATAAGACTCTGTTGTCTTCTTTGCGCTGAACTCCAGTTTGTTTGGAAGAACACTGATTTCAACGCCTTGTGGGGCTTCTACTTTCACTTCATAAACAGCATCGGCTTCATCTCCTACATTTGTGACAGTTCTTGTATACTTCACCACCTCCTCGCCGTTGGAAGTGAACACGACCGCGAATGATGGGTAGTTCAGATTTCCGGGATTGCTCAATTTGTGTTCACATAGGTTAGAGTATGAAGAATCCTTCACGAAAACAGCTATTTGTCTAGAATCGTAACCGATTGAACAGAGAAATGAAACGTAGTCATGAGGATTGAGATCATAAATCAGGCCTGGATTCAGAGCTTTGTTGGGATCGATATGGCCGCCGCCATGGACGAACGGATTTGAGTCGTTGCTGGTGGAGAGATCTTTGATTGGGCTGCCGGAAGTGTCCAAGGAGTAAGAAGTGGTGATCAGAGCAGATTTGATTGCTGCCGGTGTCCATGTCGGAAAAGCCTTCCGGAGCAATGCAGCGACGCCGCTGACGTGAGGGCAGGACATTGAAGTTCCAGAGATGATA